AAGTTGGTGTCCCGAGGGATTAATTCCGGTATAGCGGGGCAGATTCCCCCTGCTTTCGGTGTTGCTGGTTCCTGCCTGTTGCACCTGTGTGGCTTGCTGCTCAGGGCGCGGGCTTTAGCCTGACCTGGGTTCATGCGGCAGCAGGTACAAGGCCCAGCTCCTGCGCAGCCCTCCCTGTCCGCCGCAGAACCTGCAGTGCTGGTTGGGGGCATATTTCTGGCGGCTTGGTGTCGAGTTTGTTTCCGCCTGATGTGCCGGTGTTCACAGGTTGGACTGCCTGTTGTCCTAGCAAACTCCATGTGAAGCCACCGGTGCTTTGTTGCAGAGTTAGTTCATCGAGCCATCCGAGGTTTTACTAGGTTAACCTTCACAAATGGCAGAAAAAGTGGTTGAGTAGTTTCTGGACCAAAGCTTTTGTAAAAATAACATAATTGTATTTGTACAGTGCTTTAGCTGGTAAATCTGATGGGTTCTAGCAGGTAGCATGCTCATGCATTGGTCTGTTCACACTCAGTCTTATGGATAATAGTTATTACATATTTAAAATGATCAAAAAAACTCCTCAAACTCCGGAGTTTGTGGCATCCCAGAAGTTTAGGGTGAATAAAATGAGGAACATATTTTTCTTACACCTTTTGTCAGCAGGAGAGTTAGTATGCATTTTGAATTTTCTTAATCATTTGGACATTGATCTTAAGACCAGTGATATAAAATCTTGATAGAAATACCGGAAACATGGAATTACACAGTAGACTTAAAAAAAACCCAAACACTTGTGGGTTTCCTACATGAAACTTTGATTATTTTATTTATTTATTCTGCTGTGCTGTTTAGTTCTGAAACTTACTGCATACCTTTTGGTAGGTTGTAGTGCTGCAGGCATTTGAACTGCACTACAGCCAAAACCAGCCATTCTCTTACTCATTAATTGTGTATATGTGTAGCTGTGAAAAGACTTGACCCAAAATGTTGTGGCTTCATATTGTTTTCTTCTAAACACATGGTCACAGTGAAGGATCAGCTGGGGTTGGTTTGTTTTTAAAAAGAAGGTTACTACAGTTAGATAAAAGCAGGCCATGTGTGTACTCTTGTTGTGTAACTTCTGCCTTATTTTCTGTGTCTGTACTGTGAGTGGGATGAATACACATGAAAATGACCACAAAAGAAGTGAGGCAGACACGAGTCCACATGAAAGGGTATGGGACTGGTTTTGTTGCAACAGTGCAAATGTAAAGTCACCTTAAATTATGTTGTTAGTGGCATTTACTAAGTTCTAGGTACAAAATTAACAGATTTAATAGGTAAGTATACTTCTTGGCAGGTCTAATGTAATGTTTTCCAATTTCTCTTTTAAAGAAACTGAAGAAGTTTTTAAAGTGAAGAAGTCAAGTTACAGCAAAAAGATTGTAAAACAATTGAAGAAAGAATACAAAGAAGATCTTGAAAAATCAAAAGTTAGAACAGAGGTCAATTCTCCGACAGATGGTAACTGCCAAGCTAACAGTACCTTTTGTAATGGAAAAGATTAAGTCCTGTAGACACAAATTACTTGTTTTCAGGATGAACTGTTAGCCTTCTAGAGGATTTAGCATTTAGGACTGAGGCATGCATTAAGAACAACCTTACAGATGTTGTTCTGAAGCTGGTAGAGTTCATGTGGAAATGAATGTAGAAGGATGAAACTTGTCAGCTACGTATACAGTTCCCAGTAGAGCACAGTAGTTTCTGTATTGCAGCTCTGTTTATGTCAGATAAATTTCTCCCTATGGAATTAAGAAGGAATTAAATTCGTTTAGAAGTGTGTCTGGTGCTTATCTGACAGGATGTGTCCTTGTAACACATCTTGAAAAGGAAGATTTTGGGATGAGCAAGAGTGGTGTTCTTTGTTATTAAGTATATTATTCAACAGCTGTCTGTTTGAGGACTCAGACCTTAGACTTGCTGATTAAGATGACAGGATGAAAATTTTGGAGCAGAAGGGTCTTTTAACAATGTATCATCCTCCAGAGCTTGGAATAGAGCCTGGGATTTAAATTTCATTGCTATTGGTTTTTGGGAAGCTCACTGGTAAAGTGTAATGATTCCTTTTACAGTTAGGGTTTTTTTTTGTGTAGAGTAATAACCTACAGTGCTGTGAGCACAAGCTGAGAGGCATATGATCTAAAGATAGCAATGGTATAGCTGAAGCATGTGAGACTTGAACATGGTCCTGTGCAGGAAATTGCCCTTAAGTTACTAAAATTAATTTTAAAAAAATCTTAAATATTTTAGAAAGGCTTTGTTTGCATTTCAGAAACCCACTGGTTCTGTTTTATTGGAATCTTTTAAGTTGCCTAGGCACTGGTGTGGGGCATGAGCCAAACCAGAAATTATCATTTCTGTGGTTCATGTTCAGGTGATCTATGGAAACCTGGATCTTAATTCTTGCTTCAGTCAAAGATCCTTCATTTTGCACACGCTAGTGCATGCTTGTTTTCTGTTTGTCTGTTTTGCAGTCTCAGTAGTTGGTTTGGTTATAGTGCAAAGACCTCATGGCTGCTACTGAGTCAGTAGTCTGGATTCTCTAAGCAGATGCCAAAGTCTGAAAACTCAGCTATGTGCACCTGGATTTCTCATGCATTTTTTTACAGACTATTTATACCTGCTGCCTGTGTCTGCATGTTACCCACTCAATGCAGGGCAATATTGCACTCAGCCCAAGAGAAAAATGGAAGGGTTCTTTTGAAATGAGTCTGTTCTTGTGGAAAGATTTGGCATAACCCAGGCAATGCTTTCTAATTACATATGTAAGAGGCTGTGTGAAGGTTGCACACGTGATCTTAATTATTGAGTTCCCTCACTTTTTTTAATACTTGGCAATATAGAGAATGTTTAGTGGTTGATGAGGTGTGTGCTTCGTCAGATTTTATTTTGAGAGGATGTCAGTGACTTAATCACAGTTAAGGCATATTTTACTAGATCTAGAACAACGAAATTATCATTTTTTACTTTTGGTTTTTACACCTTAAGAAAAAAAAAAACCAACAGCAAAACAAACTTTTGAGTGATCTTTGTAAAAAGAGTAAAACATGGGCTTTGTTGTCTCACCAGTAGAACCACCACTAGAAAAGACAGGACAGATTAAGGATATAGGTCAAGAAGATGGGACTGCAAACAGTGAGCATGGTGAAGAAGAAATGGAAGTTGAAAGTGAGAAGGAAGAAGAAAAACCCAAAGCTGGTGGGGCTTTTTCCAGTGCTCTGTCATCGCTGAACGTTCTCCGCCCAGGTTGGTTTTGTAGTATGTCTGATATGTTAACAAAATCTTTAGCCAACTTTTACAGCAGTCTAATTTGAGAGATTAGGAAATACTTTCCAGCGATATATCAAATATCTGGGAATTCAGGAAACTGCTGTTTTCCAAACCTGTTCAACTTTACAAGCCTTATGAGAGAAAATGTTTTACTACAGAATGGTTCATCTTGATGTCAAAAACAGGAATTTGTCTCTCAGTGATGATAAACTGTAAGAAAATCTAGATTGGAATAGGTGACTTACCGTGGATTTTAACTGCAGTCGATTAAAATTCTGTCCTTAATTTGAACGTATCAGTTACAGGTCTGCAAGGTATCTCAGATGGTTTCCTGTCTCATCTAATGAGGTTCTAGGTCAGGCACTGAGGCCAGAGAAATCAGTTTGAGAAAGTATTTTTGAAACTGGCTTACAGATTGTTAGTTAACTCATGGTAGCCTGCCCTCCACAGCCTCAGCCATGTTTCAAGAGAAAAAGAATTTCCTAGTTGACTCCAAAATAATTAATTCTTCCTTATAGGGGTAATTGCAAAGTAGTGCCATACATACGTTATTGCATCTCTAAAGATATTGCTTGCTTGAATAGAATATCTCATGTTCAAGTATAAAGAGAATCTGAAATTTAACTGGTTTTACATGCCTAATCAAAGTAGTGGTAAAAATTGTTTCAAGAAACTGATTTTGGGGCACTATTCTTTATATGACTTATGTAAGTTGGATTAACATTGTGCTAGAGATTTCAGATTTTTATTTATTTTTTTTTTTTTTAATTAGGTCTGCTTTTCTTGTTTTCCCTCAATTGTACAATCTTCTCATATTAGCTGTGTCCAGTTTGGTGTCCTCTTAATCTCTGAGCTGTCATCATCTGTTGAAATGGCTGATGGGTTTTGCTCATGCAAAATAAAAAGAGTCAGGAGCAATATCAGGGCAGGAAGTGACCCAGTCAAGAACCTCATTTTCTTCCTCCCTTTGCAATAGTCAGCTCCTGTAAAGGACTTCCTCTTCTTTAGGAATGTTTCCCATAGGAACATCAAGCTCCTGCTGTTACGGCATGTGAGCTGCTGGAAGCAGAGCTGGACTTTTTGGGAATATCCCAGCTTTGAGGGTTCCCGTTCAGAAAGTTTGCATATGCAGCTTATAAGTTGCTTGCAAATGTTTCTGTGAGTATGGATTTTTTTCTTGTCACATTTTTTTTCCGTTTGCAAAGTTGATTTGGTAGGGTGGCAGAGATGAGTAGTAAGTTTTTGTTGCAGTGGTTGTTTAACAGTGCAAACATCTATCTCTAGGAGAAATTCCAGATGCTGCTTTTATTCATGCCGCTAGGAAAAAGCGTCAAATGGCTCGTGAACTGGGAGACTTTACCCCCGTTGACAGTGAACCAGGTAAAGGCCGCCTTGTTCGAGAAGATGAAAATGATGCCAGTGATGATGAAGATGATGACGAGAAGAGGAGGATAGTTTTTACAGTGAAAGAAAAATCCCAAAGGCAAAAGATTGCTGAGGAAATAGGTAAAACCTTTTAAGAAGGACAGCTGATAAATATTCACACTGTTTCACTGCAAGTGCTCCCATTCAACATTTTTTAACATGTTTTTCAAATGGGCATGAATCTGGAATTGTATTCTGTTTCTAAGGAAAAGTACTGCATAGTGGAATCTGCGTGTAAAATTTTGAGCACAGACTATGGTTCTGTGCTGAGAAGCACACGACTCTTCTGACTCTTCTGAAACTTAGATTAAGAATCGGTTAGTATTGTTCCTGTACTTTGTTTATTAGGAAGTATATAGTTGGAAAAGAAAAACATGAGTTCTTTGGTGTAGCATTCTTCTTGCTGTCAAGGAGGTAAAATAACTCTAGAAAAAGAGAATTAGTGAGATAGATAGGATTTTAACATTAGAGGATTTTACCAGCAGTTAGTTGCAAATTTACCCACTGGATTTTTTAAGTGGAACCCCTGTGATAAAATAATTCACAGGCTAGTATCCTTAATTCCTCATGAAGAGGAAAGGAGGATGCACGGAGATGTTGCCACCAAAGCATGGTCTCTCAAGGTTTTGCACTCGTGGCCCTTACTATGAATACGTTATCTTCTCTTATTTGTTACCTGTCTGTTTTACTTGTATTAAGGTATTGAGGGAAGTGATGACGAAGCGCTGGTGGCAGGGGAGCAAGATGAAGAACTCAGTAGATGGGAGCAAGAACAGATACGGAAAGGCATCAATATACCTCAGGCACGTATTTAGTTGTGAACTCTTTTTGGTTTGTTTCTGCATATGTTGGCTAAATCCATGACAAGCTTGAGCAACTTACAGAAGGCTGTTTCATCTGAGAAGTTCGGTGTGTAACTTCTGATATTCTTTAAAGAAAAATGAGAAGTCAGATTTAAGTATCCAGTGGTATCCATTTCATTAGTCTCTGTTTTGGGTAGATACTTACTGTTTGTGGTGCTGTTAATAGGCATTTGCAGTCTAAACCAGAGCTAGAATAATGCCACTTGGAAGAGGCCTCTGTTGTTGTTTGTCATTGGGTTCATAGAGTCTGTGTAAACAGCGTGTGTTTCTTTGTTTCTGTATCCTGCATTGCAGCGTAGAGTTGGAGTTAGTAGCAGGTTGCACCATATGTTGCCTGTGCACTCATAGTGAAGTTGACACTCAGTTTAAGAGGATAGTTGTCTTTTAAAACAAATAACAACCAGACCCATCACCCCACATTTCAGCAAAATCGCAACGAAACACACTGACTCTAAACCTGTGTCATTCTATTAAATAGTCATAGCAAAATTTAGTAATAGTCCCAAACCCTTGGTTATTGTTGGAGTTACAGGCTTGTTAAAATTGTCATTTCATATGATAATAATACTAAGATACTTAAATGTGTCCATCTAAGAAGGTGCATCTGAGCGAATTTGTTTCTGTTGGAATTTCTAGTCTTAAATCCACATGAGAATTACATTTTGTAAATGTACCTGTCTACGTTTTTTGCTTTATAACATATATGTGATATGAAAGGAAGTTTCTCTTCTTGAACATCTAATAGAGTACAATTGCATTTTCTCTTTCATTAGGTTCAGCCAAGTCAGCCTGCTGAAGTGAATAATCTATACTACCAGAACACTTACCAGACGCTGTCTTATGGTTCATCCTATGGCATTCCATACACTTACACTGCGTATGGATCATCGGAAACCAAGTCTCAAAAAACAGATAATACAGTTCCTTTCAAAACTCCCAGTAATGAGATGACTCCTGTTACTATTGATTTGGTAAAGAAACAGCTTAAAGACAGGTAGGACAGACCATCTTTTTAGACTTAAAGACCTGTCCCCTAGCTTTCTGTTCCTCGGGTGTCTTTTAGTCTCGGTGAGCAAACACAGAGTTTCATCGCTGGAAAAGTACTGACTGGCACATCCATTAAAAAAAAATGGCAAACAAAAAAAGCTCAAAGTGAAGATGACATTGATATTTTTTTCGAAAATCTCCTTGGATTGCTTCTATGGAAGTGAAGCTTTAAATATGAGGCCATTGATCTTGTTGAAGACAGGTCTGAGTTGCATCTTCTGGACACTGCACAGGCTTATAGTCAAGAATGGAAAGGCCAGTGAGGTGTTTAGCTTATCAAGTTGCTTTCCTTTAAACTGTGAATCAGATTTTTTGCCTTCAGGAGATAGTTGAAGTTTTAGTATATACAGGGGTTTTCTTTTTGGTTTAAACACTGTAATCTGCTTGTCAGGTACGCAAAAGGTCCTACCGAATGAACAACCCAATTGCAGTGAGAAATCATTTGTAATGAACAACTTGCACTTTACATGTCTTCAAAATTGGTTTGTATGCCTCTTGTAGTGTTACAGCCTTTGACAGTGCATTAAGTTAGTAGAGGAGTAAGTCTGCTTTTTATAAGCTATAGTTCTCCCACTCCCACCCCCCCAAACCTTTCCTCCCAGTTACACTTTTGGGCCAGCCTTGCACTATTTTACCACCTCCTGTAAAAAGCTGTGGTAGTGAGCAGTGCAAGGCACTCAGCACAGTCTAGCAAATTAATTTAAACTGTTAGTCTTGCTGTTTATTTAGACGAGAGAGAAAGTGACAGATGGAAGTTAGAGAATATGTCTTTGCAGTATTTCCCATATGTAGACTTGGCACTTGCACTGTCTGTTTAATATCTCAATGGTCTGAAATAATACAGACTTTTGGATGTAAATTTGCTATTTATCCGTTGCCCTTCAGGTTGGACTCTATGAAAGAATTGCACAAAGCTAATCGGCAGCAATATGAGAAACACCAGCAAAGCCGAGAGGACTCTACCAAGGCAATTGAAAGATTAGAAGGGTCTTCTGGGGGTATTGGTGAACAGTATAAGTTTTTGCAAGAAATGCGAGGGTATGTCCAAGACTTGCTTGAGTGTTTCAGTGAAAAGGTAAGAATGAAAAAACATTCATCTTTTTTCAAAAAAAAAAAAAAAAAAAAGGGATTCTTAGTACATGTCAAACACCATCTCCTTCTCTTTGCGAAAAATGCCCCCCAAGAACATGTTCTTCTAAAGGTTTGGTTATGTGAGGGTTGAAAAGATAATTTGTCATCATGCCAAATTGGTTATCAGAAACCAATCTTTCACAGTGTAAGAGGTCACTGACTTTAGATTGCCTAAACCAAGTTTTAGATTATATGTCATTAGGATTTTGGTAGATACTCTGGCATTTCAGCTTTACTCAAGATGCTACTTTTTACTTGTGTTCGATATCAGGTTAACAAAAGCAAGGGCCAAATTGCAATGTTGTTACTGTGTTCATAAAGCATTCCAGAAACTAGCAAAGACTTGTATTTTGTGTATTATTATAAAGCTTCCTCCTGCCAGGCAGTTTCATATACTTGGTATTGCTCTCATGTCGGAAGGAGAGAAATTTTAAAACTAGTGTAGCTGTATGAAGACACTTAAAAATATACTCCTTTCATGTAGTGTGATACTTCTGTGTATGTCTAACTTGAAAACTTTGTCTTTCTTTCTTATGTTATTCATTATGTTTTAATTATTTTTTGTAAGTATAACAGGAGCTCCTGAAAAAAAATATATATGTATATTTTTATATATATATTGCACACAGGAGCTGTAAAGTTCAGGTAGCAGTACCTAGGCTATTCATTGTCTTCTGACTTGAATACGATAGCTTTGTGTCTTCTTACTATATTAGGTGTCATAATTACTTGAGTAGTGGAAGCTGTTTCTTCCCTAGCTTAAGTGTGAAAGAAGAATATAAAAGCATTCGGGTTGCTAATTGGCTAGACAGGAATTGTCCAGCATTACTGGTATGGGGAGAGACCCATCTTCAGTCCTGTAAACTGAGGAATAGCTGTGTCATGAACCAAACCCAGGAAGTGTGGACCAGTTAATTCAGCCAGCTGTTTGATCAGTTAAAATAGGTATTGTTCACTGAAGAAGCAGTATTCCTGAGTCTGTTGGCATTAGCTGTTGAGGGGTAGTAGATGTACATTCCTTTTCAGCTGTGTCAGTGCTGGTTGCTCAGATATCTAAATTCCTTCTTAAAAATATCTTTTTGTATTCTTTTCTGAGATAAATTTGTATTTCAGAAGACAAGTTAAACACCTGTATCTGTATTCAGCATTAGCTTTCTAAAGACCTCTTGTTAAATTTCTTTTGGGGTAACTGTAAGCCACGTCTGCAGGTTTTCTTTGATAGCCCATGCTGTCTTCTTCAAATCTTTTCTTTAAAAGAATTATTCTAGAAGGCACCATTCTGAGTATAAACCAAGCCTTTTAGTCTCCCAGATTTTGTATAAACTAGGATGATTTACTGTTAAGTAATAGTGTAACTATTTCAGTTCAGTTTGTAGAAATGTTATTGACCTATCTAGCTATACTAGTAAATAGATAAATTCCAGCCATTTTATAGCAAATTAGCTGCTAATAATTTAATAAACAGGCTTGTTGTTTTCTTATAACATATCTTTGCTTTCCGGGTAGGTGGTCTTTTAAGGATTCTACCCTCAGACACCTTCCTCACCCTTACCACCCTCCCCACCCTCACCACCCTCCCCATACCCCACTTGCCATGGTAGTCCATTGAACTTCTAAGGTGTAATTTTTATCATGTCATGCTTCTTAGGGGCATTCACAGAGTTTTGCTGTTTTCAGTTGGAGGCTGCTGCTGTACCTGTATGTACAATGAGTTACAAAATTAGGAGGTGATGTTAGTTTAACAGGAGCATTTCATTTATTATGATGTCCTATATATTCCTAAGTTCTTTGGCCAGATAATCTGTTTTGGGATTTGGTGCTTTCAGCACGACAGAAGTACAATCAAATTCAAACCCAGTAGATCACAGGACACTGCAGGGCTTTCTAAAAAGGAGGCAGTGGGAGGGGATAGAGTAGTAAAATCAGTATCAGTTTTTATTTAAATGAAAAATGACATGCAGCAGGACAGTAAATTCTTCGAGTGTAGAGATAAATTGCCTTCAGCTTTTTTGTAGAACCTTTGGCCATGACTAACTATTTAAAGTGTGTATGTTTATAATTCATAATATATGTAGTTGTAATATACATAAGTATATAAAATGCGTATCCATGTGTGTAATAACACTGTGTGTGTATATGTGTGTGTACATACACGCATGTATGAATCTTAAATATGTATAAGGCCAGGTCCCTCCCTATCCTTTCAAATATGATGCTTTGATGCTTTCTCTTCATTTTATTGGTATGGTTATTAGACAAATTCACACTGGTACTGATCTGAATGAGAAAGTGGTTTGCTGAAGAAGTACTAATGGGTTCACAATATACTTGTCCCCTCCAGAATAGTCCATTCCCCTAGAGGTTTTTTTTTTTGTATGTCTAATGACTTAGTTTTGGAGAACCAAAAGCAACAAAAGCTACTGAAATTAGACTTTCTTCCCCCTACCCATCTTATTTCTGCACCTGTTCACTATTCTGAATCTTTCATGACCCTCAGCCAAGCAAAAACATGTTGTTGTTTTCTGTTCTGAAGAGAATCTGAATGTTAGAAACACTTTGTTCATTGGTAAGGTGCAGCAGAGAGTATGGTGAGGCAGCTCCTATGCAAATGTTAGAAACGAGCAGTAGAAATGTCAAATCCTCTATGATTCCCCCCCCC